GCAACGATAAGTAATAGTGATTAAAATCGATTCGTGTTCCTGTACAAAGACACAAAGAGCATAACTATACCAGTGACAATGAGAAATTTAAACCGATGTTACTTCGTTAAAGAGAAACGGATCATTTGGTTTCATTTTAAAGCGCAAGCTTTTGCTCACTTTCTCGCTACATGATGTAAAATTATCTTCAAAAATTTATCTTCAAAGCTTGAAGCTTCGTACGTATTGAAACCGAGACCGAGTAGATCCTTTACAAAGTTACATCAGCTTAAATTATCGACAATTTTTCATTGTCATGCTCTTCGCTGTAACTATTTTGTCGTTACGTGCGGTTTCGCAGACGTAATCGAGCGTGGCCATTACGGTATTCACGTTCGCCGTGTCGTAGCTTGGGAATCTAGGAAGCTTTCATACTCCTTGTTTACACGTATATTAGATGATTGCGTATTAGTGTTGTTACGATTAACTGCATGTCGTCGAGGTAAATGCATAGCACGCGAGACTTGGTCATTCAAAGCAGAATAAATATCGTTCGACTCTCTTCTCAAGTAAACGTTCCTTCGGACTTGTTATATTATATTTATATCATAGACATATCTTACGAGTAAATAGTGTGTAACGACGGAAGCTAGGCTTCCGTTAGAAACAATACAGTGTTCAGTATCCAAGTAGCCAAGTAGCCAAGTAGTGTTGTTTAAAGTTATCTCGATTGAAAGTAATGTTGTTGAATGAAACACTTCTTTGACGATGTACTTGTTGTCGTAGTAACAAACATACATATCAACAACGAGAGGTCCAAACAAAATTTTCTTCTTGAAATCGAATGTGTATATACCCACGTGTCGTGCCGAAATCGATGATTTCTGTATTTTTCAATTTTTTTTTTTTTTTTTTTTTTTCCCCTTTAACGTGTATAAATTTGTAACGAGCACGTCGAGATGTTAATTCCGTCCCTTTTAGAGCAACGACTCGAGCGAAGAGACGGTACATCGCAGCAACATCACCGCGGATGCCAGCCCTTCCGAGGTTGCCACGGACAACGAGAACAAACTCAATTCCTCCGAGGAAGCATGGACCGACGTAAACCTGAACGAAGACGGGGACACGATCCCAATGACGAATCAGAGGGATGATCCGCGAAACATTCACAATATAGCGCACTCTCGCGGTGAGTGAGATCCGTTTTGAAGAAGAAGGTTCCATTTGTACTTTTTTTTTTTTTTGTTTCGTCATACCTCACCCTGGGTAACCAAATTCTACACCGGAACACAACCTTCGACCGTTATGGCCGAAGATATGAATCTGTAAACTACCTGTCCAGCGGCAGTTGTTCTCAGAAGATTTGGCTCCAAATTCCAAAGCAGCGATACCATCGTCAACTCTTTCCCTCTCTATGGTTTTAACAAAATTCTCTCCCTCCCCCTCCCCCTCCCCCCTCGTGTCCTCAATATCGCCTGAAATTCCACGAAAACGTGCGCTTTTGATACTTCAAATTTCAAGGGAGAGTTGTTTGTTTAACACGTTCCGTGCCATGTGTACCACCGGTGGTACACGCAATCATATTT